TTATAGCCATGGAATCAAACTGGCCGGAAGAAAAATTAGAATTGGAAGATAACAAACAATTTAAACTAATCCCAACATCAAATTTAGGAAATCACAGATAAGACTGCAGATACAGGGGAAAACATAATGGCAGTCTGATCAAAGAGTATGATGATATATGCAGAGGACGTTTTAATTGGTTGGGATGCCTAGTTCCCTCATCAGCTACTTTCTCTACTTTAGACCATACTAGGTTCTTGGTTATTATTACTTTAGGTATAATACTCCTCCTACACATTACATATTACATATGTCAGGTACAAAGAACAGCAAAAGGAAAACCCAGACCTGATAAAGATAGGTAATAACATTAATTTAACTCAGGATTTTTTTTTTTTTTTTTTTTGGTGGTACTGGTGGCTGATTCCAGGGCACTCTACTATGGAGCCATATTTCCCAGCCCTTCTATTTTATTTTGAGATAATAAATTGATAAATTTCCCAGGGCAAGTCTTGAACTTACCATCCTGGACTTATAGGTGTGCACCACTGTGCTCAGCCCAGATACTCAACAGATTCTAGTAACGAACCTTGTAACCAACCTTCCTAGCTCCGTGGGACATGAGACATTTGGCCTCTGCATGCATAGAGCACAGTGCTTGGCCAACAGGGGGAACTGTAGAGCCAAAGCTCTCTGAAGAAGTCACATCTGTATTAAAGATCCTGCAAACTATCTGAACTTGGCCAAGCAAGAACATTGTGATTGTGGAGAAATGGAATATTTCAGATCAAGGGCCAAAATTACCTTGGGCTTTCTTGGTCCCTTTAATAGCCATTTACTTTTAATCTCTGTATTTGACCTTACAGCCTCGGGACACGAGGTAAAACTCCAAATGTATGGCAAGCTTAGCCACCTTCTAACAGCTACCAACACTAAAGCTAAGAATGCTGTAACAATTGAAGCTTACAGAAAAGATTTCACCTTTCTTTTTCTCCCTCCTACCTAATGCTCTTACCTATGTAAATGTATTGATTTATGACCTTTGTCCTATGGCTATAAAAGATCATGTAACCTCCTCCATGACAAAACACACCATTTAAGATAATTTGAATCTGTGTGTTCCTGTGCTATAGTCACTCATCTTTGGCTCATAATAAACTATTTTAAAATTTCCTTTAAAATAGAGTTGTTTTATGTTGAAATTTCATTTCATAAATGTCTAATGCCAGACTTTGTATTAAGTTGTATCTTGAAAACAAAAATTTTTAACTATTCTCACCTGTTTACATTTTTCAGTAGCTCAATTTCAATCAAGCTTTGGGACTGTGATCCTGGAAGATTGAGATGTGGGAAGTACTTCTTCCATGCAGAATTATTTATACCAATTATTCAGTTTACCTCATTCTTCATCAAAGACCTATTGCTATTCAGGGTTCATAGAGGGAAAGGAGTTGAATGCCTTTTAGGTTCTAAAAAAAGCTAATCTATGCTATTTTTGTTGGCTTTTTGTGATAAAGAAGCAGGCCAGCCACATAACATGAGGGTTTCTATCTACTGCTCAGGAGTTTCCTCAATGTGCACATAGAGCCACATAAACACATTCACTGATTGATTCTTATTTTCCTGTCTCCATTTAGAGACAACTCAAACTTAAAACC